AATCGCTCTCATTGTCATCCTTCAAGGTATGCGCATTTTAATTGGACTTAGTAACTGAAATAGGTGAGTCAATTTCTGCTCAAAAGATTGAGTCTTATTTTCACCAATATTTTTTTCATTTTGGTTTAATTCCATTGTCATCCCAAAATACACCCTCAACTTAGCAGGTCCAAAATTACTTTCGAAATTAAAACCTGAGCATGTTCCTCTATTCCAGTACACGTCATGCTTCCATCCTCCTACTTGATTTCAGCCAGACAATCTACAGTACCCCAACAATCTTAACTCCTAAAGTAAACTAGCGTGTTTTCGGGTGACCCTATTCTGAGTTAGATGTCCCCAAAGGCGGCCTTGTAAGGCAAAGCGGGTTTGGTCACACACGCACTCACATCTCTATCCCCTGTATTCTTTCTCCCTCCCTCTCCTCCGCCCTCCTTCCTTCAAGTAAGGAATGGGCTAGGGGTGGAGACGGTATGGCCTATTTGGGTGCTTTCTGGGACGAAAAAAATCAGGGCCAATTGCTTCACTTCTTCCTCTTCTCAGAGTGAACTGGGCTGTGGAGGTGGGCTTCTCGGGTCGATTCGAAGTAGTCACTATCGCTGTCTCTTACGCATTTGAGCCTTCTGCAGCTTCTCTCGAAACCTAAAAAATTCAGTTAAAATCGGTTTTGGGTCGCAGAAATTGTTACATAAATTGTCAATAAACTGAGGATTGAAATTCTTCGTACTTAAAACGCCTATTATCCCAACCCAACTTCTTTAGTGTGTGGTCATTCTAGGGCTGTACGGAGTGTGGTTGTAGTCCAAAAGGTTCCACTTCGGAGTCCTGCGAGCCCTTCACGGGCCAATGCAACTGTCTGCCCTTTACAATGGGGCGGGCGTGTGATGAGTGTCTGCCGGGCTACTTCAACCTCACCACGGGAGTGGGTTGTCAGGACTGCGAATGTCATCCTTACGGGTCCACCCATCGCCAATGCGACCCCAACGGGCAGTGCTTCTGCAGATCCTTCGCCAGCGGGAAGAAGTGTGACCAGTGCGAGGCGAGTCACAATACATTTCATCCACCCACCGTATAGACCTGAGATCCATTGAAAACTATTTGGATGCTCTTTCTCTCCGATGGAGTTAGTTGGAAGAAGCCACAGTTATGCAAATTTGTTACCGTACGCCACTTATGAGAAGTGGGAAAGCATGTGTACTATCTATTCCCCACTTTCTGCATTAGTGCTCAAATAAATTAGCAAAACTTTCCGGCTAAAGTTAACAGAGTAGTAAGCAATGCAACAGAAATATCGAAAATGAAAGTGTGAGTTTACCATTTTGGTTTTTTTGGACAGCATTCTCATTGCGTCCAAAGTATTTGGGTTTTAGATGGCTATTTAAAATC